CCTGCTTCTGCTCAGAGCTCAGCTGGGTCCTTCTCCTTACTAAAGTATTACGATTTGCATGACACAAACACAGTCAAGACTACACTGAAGCACGTTTAGAAGAACAAGGTCCACTTACTTCCAGTTCCTCTGCACTGGCTGACCTCCATGATCAGGAACTGGATAAGGCGGAGGGGGTATATATCCATATCCTGCAAAAGAACAGAGGGGTAAGAAGTTAATATCAGGAATACCAGTTGTAAGAATTCTGTGCACAAAGAAGTCACATTCTCGAAAGTTCTCCAATAACAATGCAAAAGCGGGGGAAGTCGGAAGATGGCGACCTGAGCAGACGCTTGATGTTAAGCTCCTCTTGGCTTGTTTTTAATGTTTTCTTTTTTTTCTACCTTTGGCTCCCTGCCAGATAACAACAAGAATCTTCATTGAGGGAATCCATTCTCACACCTGCTTTGCTGATGATCAGAGGTGAATTTTTATCTTATATAAGTGGATGTTTTGATTTGAAGCTCTACTCTCGTAGTTAAGCCTGGAGAATGGAGAACTGAGTGGCTAATTAGCCGAAACAGCTGTGCTTGGTGTCAGCCTGCAGATTTTCCTTTCCCGGTCCTGCAAACGAACTTGAAGTACTGGACAATTATATTTTTGCCTTGTTTAAGATAACATTGTAAGTTATGACCTCTTATAAGAACAGGAGGGAAAGCACAGGAGGACAAACTCAGCCCAGTCTTCGAGGGCCAAGAAGGTAAAACAAAATTGATGACCCTCCTTCTCCAAGGGACAACGTAAGTTATTTATCAATCTTTTACTCACCAAACAAGCACAATGCTTTAGAAACAGAACAAGACCTACTATCTCAATCCTCATTAAGTAACTACATCCAAGATTCTGACAACTCTCTTAAATCAACTTACAAAAAAGAACCAGCCCAGCCAGACAATAGAATCATAGAGTTGGAAGGGATCTCCAGGGTCATCTAGTCCAACCCCCTGCACAATGCAGGAAATTCACAAATACCTCCCCCCACACCCCCAGTGACACCTGTTCCATGCCCAGAAGATGAAGAATGTAAATTGGACTTAGAGTATTTAAAGGATTATTTATTGAAATTTGTTGGAGATCATTGTTTATTGACCTCACAAATAGTTATTGAGATTTTTCAACAACTGAACTGCATTTCTGCACAACTTGAACAGCTCAATCATAGTCTCAGAGCTTCTATGCTAGAGACTTCCAATTCTGTCCCTTCAAAAGGCTTTATACCTGAAGCTGCAGTCTACTAAGCCTACAGAGGAGGGGAAACCTCAGCAGAAATCTGTCTGTGGAATGACATGTTGATTGCAACCAGATAGCAGTATATCTTCCAGAAAATTACTTACACTATGGTCTCTGGCAAAACAGATGCAATGTTATATATTTTATTAGCTAGCTCTTGAGAACAGAGTTTTACCTTATAGTTCTTATTAAAGTTGAAAAGCTGGCAAATTTGGGGCCAGGGGTAAGACTGCTTTTCACTTTTCCCCAACCAACTATTCCACAAATGTTATTAAAAATGTGCAAATTTCTCTCACTGTTTGAAATTACATTCATCAGAGTTTCTGCTGATGAGGCCATCTGTCCCGCAACGTGAAACACAGGTGATAGAACACCTACTGGTGGTGGCATGGGAGCAGTTACCTCCAACAGAATCCTTACTAACTCATCAAGATCTTTAAGACGATCCCATGAGTTACCTCATAAAACTGAAAATGGACCAGCAAAATTAAAATATGTTCCTATTACAAATGGATAGAGAGTTCAACCAGGAAAATGGTCAAAAATAAAAGAACAGTAAGAATGACTCAAGCTTCCTTTCACTCTCCAATGAGAAACATCTCCCAAAATACTGAGAACCAGCAGACTATTGATGACACTGTACAAATACAGCAAAGATTTAGATCTCCACAAAGCAGAATCTACAGTATCCCTGACACCATGTGATTCACTGGACTGGATTGCCTTCTGCCATGAGATAAAATCTGAATTACTCTCCTGGTTATCATCAAGGAGATATGTCAATTGCTGATAAAGTGCTGTATGTATTATCATGAAAACCCTGAGTGAATACTTTAAATCTTCACCTTTGTCGATCATTTTAATTGATTTTTGTTTCATACTGAGTTGATATAACAACACAGTTCAGCCAGAGGAGTTTAGCTGACAGCCTTCAGAAGACAACGTCAATCTGCCTTCTGGTCCTGTCCATTTATCACCTTTGCAGACTGCTAAGCCAGCAACTTTCCCCTGGAGAATTCAGTTTCAGGTCTGCCAGTTTTTGAACAAGCTCTGCAATTCCCACCTTTTTCATAGAGTTATGTATAACAACCACTATCCGCTCAGATATCTGTATACTATTATCCATTCGGTCAAAATCCTATCTCAGTATCAGTAACTTAGTAACCCAGCAATAGTATCAGCCCAAGGTCTAAGTTCATTAGTTTAATACCCTATTTCAGCAAATTAGCAATACAGGCCTCAATCTGTACAATGTACAGCAGTGTCCCCAAATATCAGACTGTTAGAAAGCAGGTTATTAGTCTACCTTGAACAATTAACAAGGGCCCCAAGGATTTTTCAGAATGTAACAGCTTCTCCAAAGTTAGAACCCAATGAATGTTCAACAGGGAAATCAAATGCAAGGCATGGTGGTTTAATATCTAGACATGTCGACCTATCAGGAGCCAAGAACCCAGGGCTCAAAGACAATTGCAACAGATATATCAATATTTAATTACTAGGGAGCAAAGCCCATTGTGGACAAAGACAATGGGCCCTAGAAAGGTAGAGTGCGTGGGTGGTAGATAGATATGTAGATGGATAGATAGAGGGGAGGAAGGAAGGAAGGAAGGAAGGAAGGAAGGAAGGAAGGAAGGAAGGAAGGAAGGAAGGAAGGAAGGAAG